CTCATAATTAAAACATTTGTAAATCTTTACTTTTGCTCCAATCTGATTGCCGCACTGGCCAACCTGCAAATGTACGATTTCCCTCATTTTGTTCCTCTACGAATATCGAATTCTGATCGGTGCAAGATATTTTAAGGGTACTTGTCTGCTGCCGGTTAACCTCAATGATATTTATAGCAAAATAAGAGGCGTCCTATCTGGTCAATTTTCAACTGCTGGAGTGACAGATACACGTATTTGACTAATTTGTATATATCCGGTACTAACCGCATGAAATACATCGTTTCCATGGTTTTCCTTTGTTTGTTTCAATGCACCAATAGTTATCCTATTGTTGTTTATTATTTCGTTGACTGGGAACAACTTTATATTGATGTTGCATAGCAATACCTGCTTTATAAGGGATTGATTCTAGAACTGGAAAATTGTATGTAATAGAAATTGAACTTCATTTATTCTATACAATACTTCATATTTTGTTGGCATTTAATTGTCCTCCAATGTCATTGACTCCTTACAAATATGATTTATTAATAATTATCAATTAAAAATTGAAACAAATAACTTTAGATCTCAAGATTTTGAAAATGATAAAAATATTTATTTTTTTCTTTAAAAATGTGTATTAAGCTATTACATACATATTAAATTTAAAAAACGAGATTATATTCTTTTTACAAACAAAATAGCAACCAATTATACGTTCCAAAAATCAATATCTAAACTCCTATATATATAATATTCTTTTGAATACACTTAGAGAGTACACTATTGGAAAGGAAATATTAAGGAATTTTACTTATACTCAGTGCAGCTAGCTGTGTACTGGAATTAATTTAGACTTTTATGTAACCGGAAGCATCTATGTTGGAATATTATGTTTATATTCATTCCAGTATTGATATAGGATGCTGGATGACTTTGGGGACAGAAGATGATATTTTAATTGAAGGAGAAAGCTTGAGATCGAATTAAGCAGGAGAACCGTTTTGGAAGAAACTGTGGACTTGTCGTCTGACAGACTACTGATGAATGAACTGATATGGATTTATATTAGTTGGAAAACATACATACAGTAAAATTGAAAGTAGAAAATATATTGAATAGAGTTATTACAGGAATCAGAAGTAGATTCTTGCAGTTATTTATTAAATAAATGAATATTGCTGCTCTTCAATCTCAATATATATTATCCCTTCTCTTGTCTCTTATTTAAAGCAGAGATCAGTTCATATTAATTTTCTATGTCGAAAACATGAATATTAGACGAAAATATTACTCTTACATAACTTCATCCAATTTATCATTCTGTTAAGGTATGGTACACTTTAATAGCATACGAGTGCTTAATAATATGCCACAGAGTTAGAAAAAACTTGAACAGAGCCATGAAGGGTGTAAGTTAGAGCAGAAGAATTATCTGCATGGTCATTCCTTCTACCATTTAAATGAAAATTCCACATGAATAAAGAATGCCGTAAAGTTGCGTTACATAAATTTTCAAGCTAAATTTTTCTACATTTTTATTGTAACTTAATATTTGTTCTGCTTAGGATTTATAGAAGTAAATAAATTCAATTTCATTTTCAAGTAGTTGCACATTCAGGTCAGTATTTAATATCCCTTTACATCATGTTTACACGTTGGAATGATACGAAAGAAATATGGATAGAAGGAAAATTTGGTAATATATAATTCCTTTACATCTTTCTTCTTCTGGAAATGCATAGGCATTTCTCAAACTTGTGAAATATAGCATTAAAAGACGATTTTAATTTACAATTTAATGTACTTATTAAATGAACTGGTGTAATTTCCGACAAGTCGAAATCTACGAGGCACTCGTGAGCGTAAACGATCTGTAGATTGAGATAAAGTTCCTTCATCACAAAGGAAAAAGGAATGTTAACTACTACATCCCGTAATCAAGATTGTCCAGACGTCTTTTCCTATTCAAATAATGTAAGACTTTTCGAGAACATTCGACCGCATGCAGAAACGTTGTAATATCCCAAGGGCGATAGAAATGACACCAGACAGCCACAAAAATTTTATATTGGTAAGGCCTCAAAGACGGTTAAAATTTAATAATAATAACCATATAGTATCATAAAGAAATCTTGATAGAATGATAAATTTAATGAAGTTATGTAAGAGTAATATTTTCGTCTAATATTTATATTATAGATATAGAAAATTTATTTGAATTTATCTCTGCTGTAAATAAGAGACAATTGAAGGGATAATATATATTCAGATTGAAGAGCAGGAATATTAATTCATTAAATAAATAACTGCATGAATCTACTTTTGATTCCTGTAATAACTCTAATCCATATAATTTCTACTTTCAGTTTTTTACTGTATGTAGATTTTCCATATAATATAAATCCATATCATTTCATTCATCAGTAATCTGTCAGACGACAATTCCACAGTTTCTTCCAAAACAGTTCTCCCGCTTAATGCGATCTCAAGCTTTCTCCTTCAATTAAAATATCATCTTCTGTCCCCAAGGTCATCCAGCATCCTATATCAATATTGGAATGAAAATAAACATAATTTCACAATATAAATGTTTCCGGTAACATAAAGGGCTAAATTGATCCCAGTACATAGCTAGCTGCACTGAGTATAAGATAATTTCTTAATATTTCCTTTATAAAAGAGTGTACTCTCTAAATATATTCAAAGGAATTTTATATATATAATAGTTTAGATATTGATTTATTGGCAGATAAATTGGTTGCTGTTTATGTCTGTAAATAGAATGTAATCTCTTTTTTTAATTTAATGTGTATGTAAAAAGAAATAGGATGGAAAGAGAATCATGGGATTCAAAATGTTGGCATCGAAGACTCCCAGGGGAATAGAATAGTAGATCAGAGGCAAGTGCTAAAAATTTGGGAAAATTATATTTCAGAACTATATGATCGACCTAATCGGCCAGAAACCTTAGAAGTTGAACCGGAAGAAGAAGTAGATACAGACGAGAAAGGACCATATATTTTACAAAGTGAGGTGGAAAAAGCTATCAAGGAAATGAGGAAGGGAAAGGTTACAGGAGATGATGATGTACCTGGAGATGTGCTCAAGTTACTGGGAGAAGGTGGTTTGAAAACACTGACAAAACTAATGAACACCATATATGAAAGTGGAGAGTGGCCCAAGGACTTTACAGAAGTTACAATGATTGCCTTAAAGAAAAAGACAAAAGCTACAAAATGCAGCGACCATCGCACAATAAGTCTTATTGCACATACAGCAAAGATAATAGCAAAGATACTTAAAAGAAGAATTGAAAGGAAAATAGAGGATGTACTTGGAGAAGATCAGTTTGGATTTAGAAGAGGAAAAGGAACCAGGGATGCAATTGGGATGATGAGAATTATAGCGGAACGAACTTTGGAGATAGATGAAGAACTGTGTGTTTGCTTCATAGACTGGCAGAAGGCATTTGACCGGGTAAACTGGACCAAATTAATGCAGATCCTGAAAGAAACAGGTATCGATTGGCATGAAAGAAGATTGATTAGCAAATTGTACATGGATCAGAAAGTTAGAGTACGACTGGACAGGGGGGAGACAGGAAGTGTGCAGATTGGAAGAGGAGTTCGACAAGGATGCTGTTTATCACCAATTCTGTTCAACTTGTACAGCGAATGCCTTACCAAGGAAGCTCTGGATGGGCTCGGTGACTTCAAAGTAGGAGGGCAAATTATTCAAACTGTGAAATATGCAGATGACCTTGTGTTAATGGCTAAGGAAGAAACTGTGCTACAGGGCATGATTGATAGACTAATTGAAATTGGAAGGTGCTATGGCATGGAAATGAATGTGGAGAAAACAAAAGTAATGAAAATTTCGAGACAACCAACCCCAGTCACAATAAAGATAGACCAAAAACAAGTGGAGAATGTGAAATGTTTTAAATATTTGGGTAGCTTGTTAACAGATGATGGAAGGTGTACTTGTGAAATTAAATCCAGGATTGCCATGGCAAAAGCTGCATTTAGCAAGAAGAAGAATCTTTTTACCAGCAAATTGGACTTAAATTTGAGGAAGAAACTAGTGAAATGCTACATTTGGAGCATAGCTCTGTATGGGGCTGAAACATGGACACTTAGGGCAGTAGATCAGAAACATCTGGAAAGTTTCGAAATGTGGTGTTGGAGAAGAATGGAGAAGATCAGTTGGACCGATTATGTGAGAAATGAAGAAGTGTTAATTAGAGTCAGTGAGCAGAGGAATATCCTACATGAAATAAGAAAACGGAAGGCTAATTGGATTGGTCATGTTTTACGCAGAAACTGCCTTCTAAAAGAAGCTATCGAAGGAAAGATAGATGGGCGGATAGAAGTGACAAGAAGACGAGGAAGAAGACGTAAGAAGATGCTGGATGACCTTGGGGACAGAAGAGGATACTGTCATTTGAAGGAGAAAGCTCTAGATCGCATTAAGTGGAGGAATTGTTTTGAAAGAGACTGTGGACCTGTCGTCTTGACAGATTACTGATGATGATGATGATGATGATGTAATAGCTTAATACACCTAATTAATGTAAAAAATTGAATATTTCTTTCATTTTCAAAATCTTGAGAACTACAGTTCTTGTGTTTTAATTTTTAATTGATAATTTTTAAAAAATCAACCTGTAAGGAATCAATGACATGGGAGCACAATTAAGTGCACCCAGAGTATAAAGTATTTTATTGAATTAATATAAGTTCAATTTCTATAACAGAAAATATCCCAGTCCTAGAATTAATGTCTTATAAATACCAGATATTGCTAGGTAACAGCAATATAATCCCGTTGCCGAGTCAACAAAACAATAAACAACAAAAGGAGAACTGTTAATGCATTGAAACAAACAAAGGAAAAACCATGGAAACGATTAATTTCATTCGGTTAGTACCGGATATATACAAATTAGTCCAATATCTGGATCTGTCACTCCAGCAGTTGAAAATTGACGAGATAGGGCGCCGCTTCTTTTGCTTCAAATATCATTGTGGTTAACCTGCAGCAGACCAGTACACTTCAAATTTCTTTCACCGATCAGAATTCGATATTCATAGAGGAACAAAATGAGGGAAATCGTACATTTGCAGGTTGGCCAGTGCGGAAATCAGATTGGAGCTAAGGTAAAGATTTACAAATGTTTTAATTATGAGACATATTAAAGACCCTTTAAAAGAATAGTAATTCATATAAAATGTCAGGTTATTTGGGCATCTTTAGTTCTGCCTTCTAATATTACTGATTTCTTTATTTCGCTTCAACTAATTTTTTTGTTTATATATTTATTGTATTTTATCTGCAGAATCTGCGTTAAAAATGTATGTTCAATAAGTAGTGGATTGTAAATGAGTTAGGCCTATTGACACAATTCTAATACTTCGCTCTCTTTTTCACTTAGTTATCATTTTATTCGTGTATTGGTGTTTTACTCAGGTCTGTCTGGTACAGACAGAACGATGTACCTTTGCAGTCTATGTATGATTTCGTTAATGTCTTGTGGCTTTTACGTTTTGTTCTCTTTTTTTTTTTTTGGTTTAGGTGTGTTTCCACATGTCAGTGGTCTTCCGAAATGCATACCCACCTATTTCACTTCATTTTTCGAGGTACATCAATATTTCCCAGTCACGCAGTCGAACATGTTCCGTCGCGTATGGTGAATATAATATTCGTGGATTTGTTTCATTTATATTAAATCTCCAGTTCTTTGGACAATAGTCGATCCTAATATGGGTGACCAGGAGTTTCGTTCGGGGAATAACTTGTTTTCCATGTGTGGCTAATTTTTGTGTATCATGGGCGAAAGTAGCAGTTATTTCGTCTGATGTCTGGAGTTCGCTAGTGTAGATAAAGTATGGGAAGTGTTCAAAGACCTTTGCTTCCTGCACGCATTATTTAGACGTCATTAAGATTGTGATTTCGTTTCTGAACTCATCTAGAAATACCCCATCACTTATATATGATCTACAATTTTGTAGAATCCATAAGAAAATTTTTTCTAATTTCTTAAATTTCCTGGTTTCCATAATATATCTAATTATTGTGAGATGTTTATTGCCGCGGAGCGTCTTGTATTTATTTAGAATAGATTGCTGGTTCTCTATCATTTGAACAAGAGTCATATTGTATTTGGTAGAAGGAATTCTCCGTTGACCACTCTCCTTGTTCATCGATTGTGTTTGTCTGAGCGATGGTCAGAGAGAGCAAAAGTTTGATAAAAGATTTCTCTGTGATACTACATGGTTACGTTTATATTTATAACCGTCTTTGAGGCCTTATAAATAAAATATTTTTGTGGCTGTCTGTTCGTCATTTCTTCCTCCCTTGGGATATTACAACGTTTCTGCATGCGGTCGAATGTTTTCGAAATGTCTTACATTATTTGAATAGGAAAAGACTTCTAGACAATCTTGATTACGTGATGTAGTAGTTAACATTCCTTTTCCTTTGTGATGTTGGAATTGTATCTCAACCTACAGATCGTTTACGCTCAAGAGTGCCTCGTAGATTTCGACTTGTCGGAAATTACACCAGTTCATTTAATAAGTACATTAAAATGTATATTATAATCGTCTTTCAATGCTATACATTCACATGTTTGAGAAAGGCCTATACATTTCCAGATTCACTAAAGAAAAAAGTTTGTAAAGGAATTATATATTACCAAATTTTCCTTCTATCCATATTTCTTCCGTATCATTCCAACGTGTAAACATGATGTAAATGAATATTAAATACTGACCCGATTGTGCAACTACTTGAACATGAAATTGAATTGATTTACTTCTATAAATCCTAAGCAAAACAAATATTAAGTTACAATAAATATGTAGAAAAATTTATCTTGAAAATTTATGTAACGCAACTTTACGTCATTCTTTATTCATGTGGAATTTTCGTTTACATAGTAGAAGGAATGACCATGCATATAATTATTTTGCTCTAAATTACACCCTTCATGAGCTCTGTTCATGTTTTTTCGGACTCTGTGGCATATTTTTATGCACTCGTATGCCATTAAAGTGTACTATTTTTTGATATAATGCTAAATTTGATGAAGGTAGGTGGGAGTAGTATTTTCATCTACTATTCATGTAATAGACTTAGAAATTTAAATTGAAATATTCTTTGTAGTAACTAAGAAGCAAGAGAAGTGATGTCATGTTTTGCGATTGAAGAGGCTGAATATTATGTTCTTAAATCTCCATATCTAATTATGCATCCTGTAATAATTCTAATCCATATTATTTTTCAATTTAATTTCGTTGTACTGTGTTTAGTAATTCGACAAAATATCGATCTATATCCATAAATAATTGAAAATATATTTCCTGTAACATGAAGTGCTGACTTGATCCCAATGAATAACATGCTATACTGAGTAGGTAAAATTTCTCATTATTCCGTTTCAAAACCGTGTACTCTCTAAGTATATTCCGAGGAATATTATATGAATATTTATTTAGAGATTGATTTATAGGCAGATAAAATTGGTGGCTGTTTTTGATTGTTAATAAAATGTAATATGTTTTATCAAAATTTAATATGTATGTATTGGCTTAAAATAGATATATAAATATACAAACACAATATTTTTAACATTTTTAAAATCTTGGGAACTAGAGTTTTTATTTTTAAATTTTCATTGATATTTTTGACAAATCATATTTGTAAGTAGCCAATGAAAAGGGAACAGAATTAAATGAACCCAAAAGCGTGAGGTATTGCATAGATTAATAATTCAATCCTAGAATTAATCCCTTATAAAAACCAGACACTTCTAAGCAACATCAATATAAACTTGTTCTCAGTCAAGAAATAATAAACATCAATAGGAGAACTGTTGATGCATTGAAACAAACTAAGGGAAAACCATGGAAACGGTGTATTTCATGCGGTTAGTACCGGATATATACAAATTAGTCAAATACGTGTATCTGTCACTCCAGCAGTTGAAAATTGACCAGGTAGGACGCCTCTTATTTTGCTATAAATATCATTGAGGTTAACCGGCAGCAGACAAGTACCCTTAAAATATCTTGCACCGATCAGAATTCGATATTCGTAGAGGAACAAAATGAGGAAAATCGTACATTTGCAAGTTGGCCAGTGCGGCAATCAGATTGGAGCTAAAGTAAAGATTTACACATGTTTTAATTATGAGACATATAAAGGTCTTTTAAAAGGATCGTCGTTCATATAAATCGGTAGGTTATTTGAGGGTGTTAATTTTGCCTTCTTATGTTCTCGATTTTTTAATTTCGCTCCATTACTTTTTTGTTTATACATTTATGTATATAAATAATCTGCAGAATCTGAAGTAAAAATGTATGTTCAATAAGTAGTGGCTTGTGAATGAGTTATGCCCTGTTGCGTAATTCATGTACTTCTCTCAATTGTTCACTTATTTATCATTCTATTCCTTGTACTGTTGTTTTACTCAGGTCTGTCTGGTACATAGAGATCTATGTACATTTTACGGTCAATGTATAGTTTCACTTGAAGGGTATTGGTTTGTTCTAATTTCCTTAAGGTTTTTTTTTTTTAAATTCCACTTTCATATCGCTGAGCACTGAGGTGCTTTGGATATCTTCATGAACCTATGGTTCTTTAAGTACCGATTTGCATCCAGAGTGGATGGAATATTCTTCGATTGATAGCGCTGGAAATGGATTCTGTTGCCAATAGCTAAATGACGTAAGTCTAGATAGGGTTAAGTACTGGCGTTTGCTTTCAATTTGTAGGTTTTATCGTCTTCCAAGTAGCCAGTGCATTTGTTTGTATCTTAGGTTTAGCTGTTTCTTTTGGATTTGATATTCTTTGCCAATTTCAGTTGTCTGTCGAAATGCATGTCCACGTATTTCACTTCATTTATCTAGGGTACATAAACATTCACTATTTTAGTTCTTAAATAAACTTTGTATCAATCTACTTCTGCACCCTGTAATAATTCTAATCACGTTCTTTCTACGATTAAAATGTTTTATGTTGTGTTTAGGATTTCCCCACAATATCAATCCATATCCATAATGGAAATAAAATAAGCGTAGTAAATCATCATCAGTGTGTTCTGTAACATATAAGGCAGAAATGATAACATCGCAGAGCAAGCTGCACTCAATTAAATAAAATTACTCGATTCTGTAGAGCGGATGTACATCAACGTTGCTACGTAACTGACCGCGAAACATCTCGCGACCGAATACAGGCAAAGCAATAATAGGAGTGCATTTTCTATGTAGTCCGTGACACGACCGTTGCTATGGAATCGGTCTGTAAGCAAGTTCGTTAAATATAGGCTGTTTTCAACGCATTCATTGCGAAGTTTATATAACCACAGTTACAAAGAAAACAGATTCAATTATTTGCAGAGTATTCGTCAGTATTATGGAGTATTCTTGATAGTGTTTAAGTGTCTAAGTGACAGGGAAAGGGTTCTCTGTTGAAATTCGTCATGAGACGATAAACACGCAGTGATTGTGAATTGTGTAAATCAGCGAGTATCACAAGTAATTGTAGTTACGATCTGTAAGCAGTTAATAAATCCAGTTAACAATCTGAAAGTCGTGCTCAGTCGACCAAACACGCTAGAACATATATATTAAAAAAAACGTGTACTCTCTAAATATATTTCTAGGAATTTTATATTAAGTTCATTAGTGATTTGTTTATTGGACTACTTGATAATCAGATAAAATTCATGGCTTTGTTTGGTTTCAAATTGTATGTAATTTGTATTGTGAAATTTTGATTAGAATTTTTGGCTTTAATCCGCTTTTTTAATTATAGCAATATTTTAGTATTTCTAAAATTTTGAGATTTAAATTTCTTAAATACTAATGTAATGTCATGTGCAAATACAATTTGGTTAGAATTCTTTTGTAAATCATTGGTATAGGGAAGAAAATTAATGGGCGTACATTGATACCGGCCAAACACCGTGTTCTATAATTCCCAAATTTGAGAATTCGTGTGCCATTCAATTTCTATTTTTTAAATCTCCACATTTTGCACCTGTTTTGAAATTGGATTTTATTTTGCTACATAACCAAAAAAAAATCTTCCAATTAATTTATAATTAAGCGCACTTAAAATAACATTAATTAGTTGACAGAATGCTTTATATGCTAATACTTTTCTGTCTCTCATTCTTTCTAACTAATACGTCATTAGAATTTACGTGTTCAAGTAATCCACTAGACATAACGTTTTTGAAAGGTGTTTAAGAATGATGTCATTAGGTATATCCGCTAAGATTGTCAGACGCGCTTTACTCCCCAGGAAAGTTATTTAATACTTTCCTCGTGCTAATTTCTTTTAGAGGCTGTGACGACCCCGGGGCCATAATGTGGCCGGAATGATTAGATCAATTGAAAAAAATCAAATCACCTCATCGCGACTTGAACCCGAGGCTTTCCGACTTGCAGCGTAGAGCATCAACCAACTACGTCTATAGATACATATTCAAAAGCTCTCACATTCTTCGAAATGTGGCTCTATTACATTTCATTTTACGTGTTCAAGAAAACACCATATAATAAAACTTTTTATATACATAATACAAGGATGAACTGATGTAAAGAGAATTTGTTTTAAGTAAAATGATAGCGATTTCTTTATAGCATGGATATTTTGTCTTATGGGATTTCCTAATATTTTAAGTTTATTTTGTTGTTGTGTATATCAGATTTATATTAAGAAATTAATTAATAGAGGCATGGGGCAAATAAAGTATCTTCAACCACTATGATAATGTAACTGAAATATAATTTTGATTCCTATCTAAATAAATGATAATGTGACGTATTGCGCAATGGAGGACATCCCACTTCTGACACCAGTGTAACGTTTTTACTGCTTATGACGCTGTTCGGCTTGTTAATTGATTATTTAACCACCTACAAGTCTTGGCTAAAATTAATTATAATATTGTTGCGGGTTTACACACTTTACAAACCCTACTCAATAAAGCTGTTCAATCTATCACCTGTAGTCTTCGCGTGTTATATTTTTGGATCACCTACACGATATCCACAATTATGCCCGACAACACCTGAAACCCGCAGTGAACAGATGAAAACTCCGTACGATAAACTGGTCAACTCAGCAGGTTACCACGAAGGCGACAGAGTTTGACTCTATCGCCCAGCCCGCAGAAAAGTAAAATCTCCTATACTTCAACCTTCATGGGAAGCTCCTTACAAAGTAGTAACCCGGACAAATGACGTGGTATGCAGAATCCAGAAGAACCCTAATTCGAGAATGTTGGTAGTACACCTGGACAGGCTCGCACCTTAACATGGGGCTGTTCGAGACGCGCAGCCATATGAAGGGAGAGGATGTAACTGAAGGAGAATAGTCACTTCCAGGAGTAGCCGAAACAACAAGAGACGCAGCAAGCATAGCCTTCAGAGAAAAGAACGGGGATGCACCTTTAGGCTATTCGGGACGAACAGCCTTAAGAAAGGAGCACTGTGACGTATTGCGCTTTGGAGGACAGCCCCCTCTCCGCCAGCTGTGGCGTAACTTCGCTGTCGTTGTTACGGTAACAGGCCAGTCACCACTCCGAAGCCCAGACATGGTGGGGGCCACTGCGGTTACTTTGCAGAAGTAAACAACTCTCACATCGGTGCGCAGGCAAACAAGCAACAGCGAACGCTATAAAAAGCCGGCTGAGCAGTGTGTGATCAGGAGTGAAGTCGCCTAGTGCAGCGGAAGACGGTTGAATTGTAGCAGCCTCCGTGAAAGGAGAACCGGACTTGTAATTAAAAGAGTTTATGCATGATACTCATTGATACTTTGTGATAACTGAGAAGGTATTGGGAGTATGAAATACAGTGACACTTACATAGTTCCCGCGTTATAAATACGTGAAGACTACTGACGATAGGGTGAACAGCTTAATTGAGTCGGGTTTTTAAAGTGTTTAAACCCGTAACATTGTTATGATTAATTGTAGCCAAGACTTGTAGGTTGTTAAATAAATCAATTAACAGTCCGAATGGAGTCATAAATAGAAAACACGTTACAAAAAGTTCTACTCAATTCCAGTCTGAACTGTTCATATTTATAGATGAGCTATTTTACAGTTCGGACTATAAGAGTCAGAGGCCTCTAACACTTTCTCCGAAAAACCTTTAAATCCATTACATAAAATCCATCACATACGAGTACGTTAACTGATATCAAAAGGCAAAATCAGCTCCATGCAGCAGTCATTGATTAGCCAGTAGTCACTCATGATAGTGTATCTTCAGTTTTCATGAATGGCTTATTTGGTGACTGGGCAAGCAGCTGTCCACATATACTGAAAGAATGTGACCTTTGTACATGGGATTAGAATAGTGTTCTTTCAAATTTATAGCGCAGTGGTTAGCTATTTGTATTAATCCTGGAAAAGTCAAAGGAGTTTCAAGCCTCATTTCATTCTTAGGATACCCTTCACACCTTTTATAAACTCTGTAGGAAATCATTTGTAGGTTGACTCTCCAGCCAAAACTCTCACATTTGGCTCACCTATCCCTTTAGGGTTACATCAAAGTGAATTAATTAAAGGGATTATTGCCAAAGAGAGACGTAAGTAAGTGTAAGTAAATGAATGAGAATGCATACATAAAGATAATGACTACAGCATTGGAACACCACATTATATAAACAACAAACAGATGTTGTGCTTTCTACCCATGCAAGCAGGTAAAAATTCCAAGAAATAATAATATCTGTGTTAACATCCAGCTATGTCACTTTTTTTCATTTTGCCTGACATTTACAGGAATATTATACTTGTAATATTCAGAATTTTTGCGAGATAGTCCAAGCTGTGTTATGGATGTCTCAAACCCATGGTCAAAGCTAAGCAAAAATAAAAGAAGTGAATGCACTAACAAAAGTGGAAATTGTTGGATATATGTTTGACTGTTCGGTGAACATCAATCTCACCTCATAATTTCTTTCTCTCCAGTTCTGGGAGGTCATCTCTGATGAGCATGGTCTCGACCAAACTGGCGCCTACCATGGTGACTCCGACCTACAACTTGAGAGAATAAATGTCTACTACAGTGAAGCATGTGGTGGAAATTATGTACCCCGCGCCATAATGGTGGATCTTGAACCCGGCACACTGGAATCTGTCCGATCTGGTCCTTTCGGTCAGATTTTCAGACCTGACAACTTCGTTTATGGTGTGAGTGGTGCTAGCAACAACTGGGCCAAGGGTCACTACACTGAAGGGGCTGAACTGGTCGACCATGTGTTGGATGTGGTCAGGAAAGAAGCCGAGAGTTGTGACTGTCTTCAGGGTTTCCAGATGACTCACTCCTTGGGAGGTGGAACTGGTTCTGGCATGGGCACATTACTTCTTTCCAACATCAGAGAGGAGTATCCAGACAGGATAATGTGCACATACTCTATCATACCTTCACCAAAGGTATCGGACACTGTTGTGGAACCATACAATACAACACTCTCTGTCCATCAGCTACTTGAAAATACTGATGAGACATACTGCATTGACAATGAGGCTCTCTATGACATTTGCTCCAGGACCCTGAAACTCACGACTCCCACATTTCATGATCTGAACCACCTAATTTCACTCACAATGTCTGGTGTGACCACTAGCCTCAGGTTCCCGGGTCAGCTGAATGCTGATCTCCGGAAACTTGCTGTCAACATGGTCCCATTCCCACGTCTCCACTTCTTCGTGCCAGGTTTCGCACCGCTCACATCCCGTGGTAACCAACAGTACCGAGCTCTCACAGTACCAGAGCTCACACAACAGATGTTTGACGCCAAGAACATGATGGCTGCATGTGACCCAAGGCATGGTCGTTACCTCACAGTTGCAGCTGTCTTCAGAGGACGCATGTCCATGAAAGAAATTGATGAACAGATGTTGAACATCCAGAACAAAAACACCAAGCACTTTGTTGAGTGGATCCCAAACAACGTGCTAACTGCCGTTTGTGATATCCCACCCAAAGGACTCAAGATGTCTGCAACCTTCATTGGTAACACCACTGCCATCCAAGAGGTATTCAAGCGGGTCTCAGAGCAGTTCACAGCCATGTTCAATCGCAAGGCTTACTTGCACTGGTACACTGGTGAGGGGATGGATGAGATGGAATTCACAGAAGCCCACTCAAATATGGATGACCTGGTGTCTGAGTACCAGCAGTACCAGGAAGTAAATGCCTTTGAGTACTTTGATGAGGAGAAGGGAGTTGAAGTTGACGAAAATTGAGCAAATAGAAACCCTTTCTTGTGTTGCCTCGATTTCTAATTTTTACTTTTCTTATAATACTTGGTTCCTCTCTGTATATATATATATATATATACCAGGAATTAAATGCCTTTGAGTACTTTGATGAGGAGAAGGGAGTTGAAGTTGACGAAAATTGAGCAAATAGAAACCCTTTCTTGTGTTGCCTCGATTTCTAATTTTTACTTTTCTTATAATACTTGGTTCCTCTCTGTATATATATATATATATATACCAGGAATTAAATGCCTTTGAGTACTTTGATGAGGAGAAGGGAGTTGAAGTTGACGAAAATTGAGCAAATAGAAACCCTTTCTTGTGTTGCCTCGATTTCTAATTTTTACTTTTCTTATAATACTTGGTTCCTCTCTGTATATATATATATATATATACCAGGAATTAAATGCCTTTGAGTACTTTGATGAGGAGAAGGGAGTTGAAGTTGACGAAAATTGAGCAAATAGAAACCCTTTCTTGTGTTGCCTCGATTTCTAATTTTTACTTTTCTTATAATACTTGGTTCCTCTCTGTATATATATATATATATATACCAGGAATTAAATGCCTTTGAGTACTTTGATGAGGAGAAGGGAGTTGAAGTTGACGAAAATTGAGCAAATAGAAACCCTTTCTTGTGTTGCCTCGATTTCTAATTTTTACTTTTCTTATAATACTTGGTTCCTCTCTGTATATATATATATATATATACCAGGAATTAAATGCCTTTGAGTACTTTGATGAGGAGAAGGGAGTTGAAGTTGACGAAAATTGAGCAAATAGAAACCCTTTCTTGTGTTGCCTCGATTTCTAATTTTTACTTTTCTTATAATACTTGGTTCCTCTCTGTATATATATATATATATATACCAGGAATTAAATGCCTTTGAGTACTTTGATGAGGAGAAGGGAGTTGAAGTTGACGAAAATTGAGCAAATTGAAACCCTTTCTTGTGTTGCCTCGATTTCTAATTTTTACTTTTGTTATAATACTTTGCTCCTCTCTCTGCAAGTATATATATATATATATATTAGCCTTGCATCTGGACAGTCAACTTATGGAAGCCCCTTAAAATATCTTACTGCATAAGCTATGTACCATTTGTTAATAATGAAAAGATTATCTCCTATTCTTAAAATTTTAGGAATGTTTATTTTACAATTTTCACTCTTTGGTTAAATATGGAATAACGATTTGGAGTGAAAGCAGTTCTATGAACAAGGTATTGCTAAATCAAAAAGGCATATTAAGAGGAGTTCATATAAAATTATTAGTTCTTTACGCATTCTCTACATTTTAAGCATTTATACACATATTTAATTGTACTAGATTCTGCAACTACTCTGTCAGTTTTGTACTGTGTATGTATTATTGCTTAATGTCTCTTTGCTCAAGTTTCACTGTGTAATGTACATCTACTTATTTATATATATATATCATATTCACCTGTCGATGTAGGAATGCTAGATTAATGGAATCTGTATGTCTGTATGTATTCCTAAGTCAATGCTGCTGTAATGATAATCAGCCTATTTAATATACAGTTACTGCTTGCTCTGGGCAGAAAAAAATTTCTGTAAAGAAAGCAATATTTCATGTATTTTTAACTACACTCCGTAGTACATAGACAAAACTTTTTGCCTTATAAATGGATGTACCTAACTAAAATAGTGTTGGAGTTGAATAATTATTTGGGATTTTTTGCTTGTTCCTTTAAAACTAGCATATGATATGTTTTCTAAATTTGATTAAAATGGATGCAATGTTGTACCTTTGTCTTACATTGAGCACCTTGAGCCATTTTCCTTCTTCAAAGGTTATTTTGCCTTAAGCTGATTATGAGCTGCATTCTGTACTACAGTTCAAGTTCTTCTCTTTTTTTTTTCATCTCTGTCCGTAAATTTATAATATGGCATATAACTGTCCACTTAGTGGCCGTACGTTGGTCTCCACTTTCATCCGCCGCTTCCTTGTTGCTGTCTGGTTCAGGGTAGGGTGTGGGATTACTCTGATTTTGAATTTTGTATGGGTNTGTAGCACTTTTGAATTGGTGTATCGGACTTGGCCAACACCGATTTAACGTCTAGGAGGTTACTCCTGTTACTTCCTTTAGGCCACTGACTGCTCTGGAGAGGCAGAAGTCCTGACGGAAATCGGGAAGGCCTGGTTTCCCCTACTCTGAAATTTTGCTGATTGGCTGAACCTAAAATTTGTTGTGTTACTCTCATTTACATTCTGCCAATCTCTAACAAGATCCATGCAAATTTGGGCCTAAGGACAACACGGCCCTTCTGACAGCTCTCAAATAAATTAAGATACAGCAACGACCGCTCGGTACGCCCCTCCGAAAATTATTGCGACTCTGTCAAGTCTCAAAATTTCAAAGACTCACACCGCCGAAGTTAAGCATTGAAATTCCAAGAAGACGCAGCGGGAAACTTCCAGCCCCATCTGGGGATTTCAAGTGACCTGCAGCTCGCTTGTCCCTCAGAAAGACCAGATCTCGTACTTGGAGTCTGCTGGTGCTGAGGTGTATTGCGTTTCATCGTTTGTTAACAGTAATATAGTTCGTCTACATGTAGTACATTATAATTAAGAATGTAAATCAACAACTTTGCTGAGGTTCCTGCACGGTGCGGTTACACGCCCCAAACGAGTTTTGTTCTCGATCGAGACTCGATTCGAACTCAAGACTCTCTTGCTTGCCGGTGAACTCCCGCTTAACTATATATCTAAGTATGCTAAACATCTAAGCCTAATGTAAATGTCTATTTTCCTCTACTCCCTACTTTCAAACTTTCTTGCTTAAGTACTAAATTTACAATTTGAAATTTGAATTATCACAACAATTATTGATATTACCACTGTCACTTCGTGTCTTTCAGTTCATTTTTTCTTGGATTTGGATGCTTGTGTGTTTTGTTTTCCTTTGAACTTTATACTTGCTGCACAATTCACTGGAAGGGGGGATGTCTAGCTTGTTGTTTCCTAATTTGTTGTCATCCGGTCTTCCTCTGACCCTGTCTCTTTCTTTTTTAGAGCCTAGTCTGATCAGCTCTTCTACTCTCATATTCCTTACTCACTCACTCTTTTTCTAGGCGAATGACTTTCATTTAAATATCTTTCCATGTTGGGTTCTTTAAACTTCGAGTGAACAACACAAAACCAAATTCTTGGTGCACATTACTGTGATTACATTGCCTTTCTCCCTCACTCACACTTTCATTCACACTTTGTCTCCTGCCAAGTTTTTCTTCCTCGCCATATCACGAATTTCTATGTGCACAAATTTGGAACTGGGATGTGCTACTCGTGTAATTCCCGTATAACGCGATTACATACAAATTCTAGATATCACTCAATCAAGATTCTTAGGCTCTGAAAAACTTTGATAGACTGGTCCGCAAACGTTGGCGAATGAACCAAAATGTCATCTACATATTGTCAAGTGTTTAGTTACCGAAGACCCCGTTCGGATTGTTAATTGGTTTATTTAACAACCTACCAGTCTCGGATACAATTAATTATAACACTGTTGGGGGGTTTCACACTTTATAGCCCTATTCGCAATAATCAATTCACTCTGTCCTCAGTAGTCTACAGTATTAATTACGATACGGGAGCTATACAAGTGTCACTGTATCACACACTACAAATTATTACTCAGTTATCACAAACTATCACTGATTGTCAGACGCGTCCGGTTCTTCTTTCCGCGACTGCTGCTATACTCCAACTCAACTGTAGGCTGCTGCCTTGAGAACTGTCTTCGGCGGCGGTTAAACTTTAACGCGTTCACTGCTGACTTGAGAACTCACTTCGACCGCTGATACACTTTTAACTTGTTCACTGCTGACTGGGGAACTCTCTTCGTCCGCTGTTACACTGAACAGCAGCTCCAACCCAGCAGCATCAGTCAGAGTGATCATCAGATCAGGAGATCGAGTCAGGAGGATTCGAGGATTGATCGAAGTTTGGCAGGAATGAGATTCGGAGGTCGCAGATCAGGAGATTAGTTGGAGAGTCTCTTACCGAAGGAGTTTTTGAGCTCTCTCAGTTGACCATAGTCTTGGAGTGGGTTCGTATGCAGCTTACCCGGTTGACTAGTGCATCGGAGGTGGGGGCCGTCCCGTCTGCAACGAACTATCAAGCATGCGAAATGACTGAGCCGAACTTTTGTGAAACACGGTGGAATGCAATTGTGGCTTCCTTTGACATGAACCACGTAAATTTAAGAAATAATGATCCTGACTGCCAGGAAGATATCGAGTTACTTGGCAAAGGCTTACAAAGTAAAAATCAGCTTATCCATACATCACACTCCATAAATGGAAACGTCGCAATATGGAATAAACTTATAACGAAATCCGAGGCCGAGAGGACAGTGCTCTCTGAGTACCTCGACCGCAAGGCGCCTTTTACAGTCATGTTGCGCCTCTATGCTGCCATCCACAGGGAGATGCGTGAGTCTCACCTGCTGGAAGACAAAGAAGATTCAGCTGAGTAATTTCGAGGGAAAAGGAGACGAAACTAAAATCCTCAGAAGAACAGACGAAAAACCGAAGCCATGATCCAGCCCTAGGGACCCTTGGATAAAATCCCATGGTGAACTACAAACAAAGAACTTCTTCGCGAATCTGAGGACATCAGAAATGGACGTGGAGGAGACAGCCAACAAGTCGGGAGAATAGCAGCCATCGGACAACAAACCAGGTAGGCCTCCTTCAATTGTACTTCCCTTCACGACAAATCTGATGCTGTTGGAGAAGAAGGTCAAAGACAGAGTCACCTAGTCTGATAAATTGGCACAATGTTACAAAAGTTTTAGTCATTATATT